TTCACCCCATTTGCTTATCACAGCATGCTGGGTTATTAGAACAAAGTGTTCTTGTGTTGAGGGAGTACTTGTTTTATTTTTTAATCATTTTATTAGGGGCTCATACAGCTCTTATCACAATCCACACATACACCAATTGTGTAAAGCACATTTGTACATTCATTGCCCTCATCATTCTCAAAACATTTGCCACTCCACTTAAGCCCCTGGCATCAGCTCCTCATTTTTTCCCCTCCCTCTTTGCTCCCCACTCCCTCGTGAACTCTTGGTAATTTAAAAATTATTATTTTGTCATATCTTGCCCTGTCTGACATCTCCCTTTACCCACTTTTCTGTTGTCTGTCCCCCAGGGAGGAGGTCACATGTAGATCCTTGTAATCGGTTCCCCCTTTCCAACCCGCCCTCCCTCTACCCTCCCAGTATCCCCACTCACACCACTGGTCCTGATGGGATCATCTGGCCTGGATTCCCTGTGTTTCCAGTTCCTATCTGTACCACTGCACATCCTCTGGTCTAGCTGGAATAGCAAGGTAGAATTTGGATCATGATATTGGGGGGGGGGTAGGGGGAGGAAGTATTTAGGAACCAGAGGGAAGTTGTATTTTTCGTCATTGCTACATCGCACCCTGACTGGCTCGTCTCCTCCCCTAGACCCTTTTGTAAGGGGATGTCCAGTGGCCTACGAATGGGCTTTGGGTTCCACTCCGCACTCCCCCCATCATTCACTATGGTAAGATTTTTTGTTCTGATGATGCCTTATACCTGATCCCTTCGACACCTTGTGATCGCACAGGCTGGTGTGCTTCTTCCATGCGGGCTTTGTTGCTTCTGAGTTAGATAGCCACTTGTTTACCTTCAAGCCTTTAAGACCCCAGACGTTATATCTTTTGATAGCCGGGCACCATCAGGAGGGAGTACTTGTATCAATACATCTTGATTATGTGTTTGATCAATTTCCAACTGAAATTGTTGGTAAAATTCTTCCATTTCTTCATCCCTAGCATTTGTGGTTGATGCATAAATTTGAGTACTAGTTGTATTGATTGGATTTCCCTGAAGTCCGATAGGTATAATCTTATCACAGAAAGCATTGTATTTCAGGGTAGATTTTGCAATGTCCCTTTTGACAATGAATGCCACGCTATTCCTCTGGATTGTGTCATTCCCAGCATCATAAATAACTTGATCTTCTGATTCACCATGGCCCATACCAGTCCATTTTAGCTCCCTAAACCCCAGCATACCCATCTTTATGTGTCACATTTCATTTTCGATGACTTCCCATTTTCCTAGATTCATACTTTGCACATCCCATGTTCTGATCAGTAGCAGATTTTTGCAACCGTCTCTCCTTCCCGTGAGTAATGCCTCGTCAGCAAATGAGGGTCCTGACGGCTCCCCTTCCACAGGCTTCACTCAACTCGAGTCACCGTGGTCGGCTCACTCTGAGAAAGCAGCCCCTCCTCAGTCACACTTAGAGAATCCTGGGACCCAAGGGGCCCGTCCTCCGGACCATCTCTGACAATGCTCTGCTTCATTCGTTAGGCCTGGAGGATCGGACCCTGATTCGGGGCTCCACAAAAGGCTTTCAGAGGCTCCTTCCTCCAAAGTGGGGAGAAGAGTCCTTCGCTGTCGCTTTTGAGTCTGGAAGCTCCACTGAAACCCGTTCGCTCTGGGTGACCCCGCCGGCATTTGAAATAGCAGGGCCATAGCCTGGAGCATCACAGCCACACACAGGCCATCCCAGTACGACAAACCGACGGAAAGGTGGTGGGGCAACCATGTTCCCAACGAGGAACCGGAAAATCCAATGATTGGTCTGTATCTGCTGAGAGCTTGTCTGGACCTAGAAGACGTCACTAAGTGAAAGAAGGGACAGGGAGAGGCCAAGCATTCTCAGACTTGGACAGGACTAGTTATTTCATGGCCACACAAGTCATCCCATTTGGAGCCCATGACTGGGGCAAAGGCCAATAGATAGCTTGTGGCTGATAAGTCAGTAATGGCCCCAGACTCCAAGGAGTTCCCTTAGCTCTGCTGGGTTATATCCAAGCCCTTAGCTCTGACAAGGGCTGCCCCAGGTCACTAGCTGAAGCCCTGTCTGTTGAAATGGACAAGTAGGTTTGAGGGAGCAGGAGAGAGGATGGCAGGGTGATGGGTTTTCTGTTCTTCTCTCATGGGAGAGGGAGGGAGAGCCAGGGCCAGGCCCTGAGACTGGCACTGTGTGGCTAGTAGGTTAGACGAGTAGAGATGACCACCCTCATGCTGGTCAAGGTTCCCAGGACCCTACCTACTATCTTATAAAGTGCGCCTAGCTAGCATGTGTCCGGGTTGAAAGGCCTCATCTGGAAAACTGGGTGTGTGTGACTTGAAGTTTTATATAATTTTGAGGTCCCACTTCAAGTAAGAGGAGACAAAAATCATAAATATGATATTAGGTATGCGGCCTTGAGCACACATCCCTGATATTTTTTATTTCATCAGCTTCCGGGTTAAATTGTGTCTGAGATTGATGGTAGGAACGCACTTCCTCCTCCTGAGACAAGATGCAAAGTTATGTTCAAGCCCCTTGCATGGGATGAAGGCAGCCCCACAGCGCTGTGAGTGCCTCACTCTGCTCACAGGCCAAGCAGAGTCGATGCCCTAAGGGGGAGCCTTCAGGGGCTGGTAGGCTGTAAGCCCTCTGTCTCAGAGATGAGAAAGACAAGGCTCAGAGCAGGGACCTCTCTTGCTCATGTTCCCTCAGACCACCGGGATGGTGCGCTTGAATTTGAGCCCATGATTCCAAATCTACAGTCTTTCCACAGCCAAGCTATTATGACGTACAAGAAATTTTTCAGAATGAGGAAACAACTGAATGAATGAGCCAGGCCATGAATGAGTAACAAAGTGAGCCAGTTAAAGGAGGAATGAGCAAACGAAGGGAGAAAGAGTGCTATGCTAGACACCAGCAGTTGGCAGACGGTGAGCTAGGCATGGTCCTTGCCACAGGGCAGGCATCTAGTGAGGAAGCCAGCTACCTAGTGCTAGGAAAGGCGGGGTGGACCTACCTATGTAGATGCCAGAGAGTCTCTTGACATTTCCCCTGAAACCGGAAGGGGTGGATGGTAGTATTACTTTAAGGGGGCATGGGTGGAGGGCCAGCCTCCACCGCTAGTACTAACGGGTTCAATAATATACAATTGTACGGTTGATAGACATATACATTATATTAAAGTCATCGGGAGGATGAGAGGTAGAAGAGATATTACATTAATGCAGTCAGACACATTACATGGTAGCATTGCTCACCTCAGCCCCACTTGGTGGTCCACGTGGAGAGAGAGGGAAGGAGGACTGGAAAGGGAACAAGGGAGAGAGGATGGGAGAGGAGAGGGGGAAGAGAGGGGAGCGACCAGCGAGAGCCCAGCAGCAGAGAAGAGGGAGGAGAGAGAGCTCTATTGCTAGCCCAGG